TTTGTCTGGTTCCAAACTATTTACACAAGCATCAAGTTCCTTAACAGGTATGGCTGGTGAATACATTAAGAAGGAAAATAATGCAACTTTTTGGTCTCTTCAAATAAACATTTCCTATTTAATTAGTGGTAACAGACATTTAGCACTTAAATTAAAAACTAATAGAGAAGCTGAGGAGTCTCAATGCAGTTAATACTGAAATGAAATAATACATAAGGGCTAACTTAAGCATTCCTAATTTTGAAACCCAACTGTGAATTTTATTGCTTCTGCTTACAGAGATGAAATATCCAAGTACTAAAAGAAATCAGGCATACTAAACCATCTTACTAATCTCCAAACTACGAAAGATACATAAAAATGTAAGTCTAAGTAAGAAATAACATTAAGAAAAAGAATTGGGCTGGGGGTGTGTGTATATACCTCAGTGGTAGAGAGCTTGCAAGTTCAAGGTCCTAGGTTCCAACCTCAGCATTACCCAAAAAAAAAAAAAAAAAAAAAAAGGAGAGGGGGAAAGAAAAAGAATCGTAACTCATTGAGTGATACTGGTTTCCTTTCCCAAAATGTAAGTATTAATAAAATTATTCATCTTTTTATTAGAAACCACAACACTAGCATTTAGGGCAGTAACAAGTGAGGCCAGTGTGGAAGGAGCAAGAGAAAAGTATGAGGATTGGCTTTATAGGGAATGTCTAGATTCCTTCTCTTTAAAAACAAAATAGACAGGCATGGTGGCGCACACCTGTAATGCTACCTGCTGGGGAGGTTGAGGCAGGATTCCCAAGTTCAAGGTCAACCTAGGCAACTTAGCAAATCTCCGTCTCAAAATAAAATTTTAAAGAAGGGCTGAGGATGTAGTTCAGTGGTAGAGCACTTGCCTAGCATGTGTGAGGCCTTGGGTTCAATCTCCAGCACTAAAAAACCCAAAATAAACAGCCAAACTTTGAGACACAACTGGTCACCGCCACATTAAGTTCTGCTGCTGGATGCCTTGTGGACAGAAGCTCGCATGGAACAGGTAACTCTTTCCATCTAGGTTGGCCTTGTCCTTCTGGAGGTGGAGACCCGTCTTCCAATCTACTTTTCCCCACTCTCAGTCATAATCCAAATACCAATAAATGAATGCTACAGCACTGAAGCTAAGACTTGAGGAAGGCAGGAACTTTCACCTGTCACAGACTCAAGTTTACTAACAACACGTACAAAACCAGACTCTCAAACTTCTCCTGCATCTGGTCCTTCTCCAAGATTCCTTATCTCAGCAATGGCCCCACCATCCATTCTGTTCTGTAATCCTGCCTGACACTGCCCTCAGCCAGCACATCAAGCCACCAGGGCCTGCCAATCTACCTCCTCAAGAGCCCCCAAGTGCGTCCACTTCTGTGCTCTTATCACCCCTGGTCCAAACTGTAACCCTCTCCTACAGGCTACTCAGGATGTACTGCTGATGCTTCTCTTCCTGTAGTCTCACACTATAGGCTGCAGTCAGCTTTCCAAAAGGCCAATCTGACCACATCACCATCTTCTAGAAGGTCAAAAGCCTGAAATAAGATCAAAAATGCCTGAGCAAGGCTGACTAGTCATGGCCTGACCTCTGACTGCTGCCTTAGCCCCTAGCCGAACAAGCCTTCTCATGGATCCCGGGCCCATCCCACTCCCCGCTACCCCCACTGCTGGGCTGTGCACCTGGACTTGCTGCTCTGCTTGCCAGCTCCCTGCCCCCTTCCCACTTTGTGCCCCTTCATCCCCTATGTGGCACAGCAGCCCTCACCTCCCCAGGCCGCCCTCCTGACCCCTTAGTGTCAAACCCACCCCCAACATGCACACCATGGACCCCTCTTCAGGCACAACTGCTAGACCTGCAGTTCTGCATTCACTGTGATTACTATCTGTCCCCAAGCCAGACTGTAAATCCGTGATGACAGGGCCTACTTCTGTGTCTGCCACTTGGGAGGCTCAGTAACTCAGTAAATGTCTGCTGAACTAATGGGTGAACTATAAATATTCATCATGCCTTGCAGCATGGTGATGGCAGACTAGTAACCCTAGCCAGCATTTCTCACCACCACATGCCAAAATTGTAGTTACCTAATTCACCATGGGCCTGCCAAGATGGAGGGAGTGTAAATAGTCCCAAGTGTTCTCAATGAAGGGTGGGGGCAGGAGAGGTTAAAACATATCAGTATATTCAGCAAATTCTGTCCCTGATAAAAATATTTAGTGGAAAAGCAAGTATTCTCAAAGCGATAAGGTTATCTTGGAACTTGTCTTAAAGTTTTGGCCCAAGGCAAACCTTTTACATTAGAAACTTCTGTGGTAGCACTTTAGACACCAACAGAGAGCCCTGGTGACAGCTGTACAAGGTCTTGGCTGGCCACCACCTCTTCATACCTAGGCTCAGGGTTTCCTCCCCAAGTTCCCACACCTCCTTTTTATCCCAGGAGGAAAGCAAGAGGGAAAAAGTCAGGAAGGAGGAAGAAGTGCCACAGGCCACCCAGCCTGAAAGGGTAGCACAAGTACTGCATCCTTAATTAGCTCCAGTGCCAATCCCCCCGTCCTCAGAAGAGGCCACATGGCACCCACTCCTGGAGACTCGCCTGACACAGGTCTAAGTACCCTCTGGAATGCCAGTCTGCCCTCCTGTGAAGGCACTGAAAAAGCCCCAAAGCACCCTGCACAACAAATGAACAGACACCCTGTCTTTTTAAAAAGTGCTCTAAGAAGCAGTATTAACAGAAAACACAGCAAATGAGTATTATTTCATTTTTACTATTTATGAATAAAGCCATCTGACTCCATTTAGACAAAACAATCATTAGGTGGAAATCTGAAACCTCAGGGATTCAGATGTACCCATTTCCAAGTGTGATTGGCCTTTAATCCTGTTACCACCTAGTGAAATTCTTAGCTTAGGCCAAAATAATTAGAATCAACAACACTTTGTGCTGGGCATGATGGCCCACACCTGTAATCCTAGCACTCAGAAGGCTGAGGTAGGAAGATCGCCCTGAGTTTGAAGCTAGCCTGGGCTACATTTTGTGTTCAAGGACAGCCTGAACTACAAAGCAAGGCCTTGTCTGTCTCTCATAAAACAAATCAAAAGTAGTCTCTCAAAAACTTCCTTTTGTTATTGAGGCTGATACACACCGTAATGGGCTGCTGTCCTTCCTGAGCAATTTAACAACTTGTCTTTGTCAGAAACAACTTAAATTCTTACCCATCATAAAAGACCTTTAAAACAAAAAAAGATTCAAACATACTTCCCATAAGAAATAAGACTTAAAAAGGAAGGGTAATCTGACACATAGTGCCTGCCACATGGATGAACTTTGAAGACATTACTTATGATACAGGAAATAAGACAGTCACAGAAAGACAATCAGAAACTGTATGATTCCACCAATTCGAGTTCCCGAGAGTAGACAAATTCACAGAGAAAGAGTACAGTGGTGGTTGCCTGGGGCTGGGAAATGGGGAGTTAGCTAGTTAGTTTTATCCAGTGCTGAGGGTCAGGTTTGGGAGGATGTAGTTCAAGAGCTGGATGGAGGTGATGCTTGCATAACAACATGAATATTTTTAATCCCGCTGAACTGGACACTTACAATGAGCAAGATGATCAATTATATGTATATTTTACAATTTTTAAAATAAAAGAAATTACAACTCATGAAGAAGACAGAAGGAAAAATAGTGAATGGAAACAGGTTAGCGCCTTTTTTCTGAGAGCTATCTTAACAGCTGAGTGCTGCCTCCTTTAGTGAAATCAGGAAAACCACACCAGGAACTAATCTTTTGACCAGCCCCTCCGTGTCCCCAGTAAGGAGTTGTAAGATTTAGGCTTTTACGTCACAGGCGTTGTAGAACTTGGAAGTCATGTGTCACTTTTAAGTTGGAAATGAAGAGTTTGGGGCAGGGAAAAAAAATTCTGAATCATGAACTACTTTGGCTAGGCAAGCAATCTGCCACTGAGCTACACCCCAGACCCTGTCTCAGGAACTAGTTGTCTTAATGTTGTAAATTAGGCCTAAAATTATACCGGGATCTAAATCCTTACCACAGTAACAGTAAGTGCTTTAACAGTGGAGCAACACGTCTAATGAAGAAATCCTTTCAGAGAACAAAATTTAATAGTAAAAACCCCCCCATGATTACGGAACCAACATGTCTGAAAAACTAGAAGCCGTACTTTGAAGAATCCTATTTTCTCCATCGTGATTTAAAACTCAAAAAATATAAAACTCTCTGGCTAGTGTCTAGTCAACAGCTCATCAGAGTTAAAGCAGGCATTTCTTAAATACTCTAAGAAATGCCCACTCACTAGGAACCCACCTTGCTCCCATAACCCCTAGGCCTGGCCAGGAATCTCAAGACAGACTCAAGGACAGAGGTGCTGGGACGTAGCACCTCATTCAGCTGACATTCATGGGCAAAGCAGGACCAGAGCCCTAGGAGACGCCTTATCAAACTCCCCGGGCTGCCTCATCTGCAATTCAAGTCCGCGGCTAACCCTTTCAGAGATAGGAATCGTGGTGTAACCAGCAAATTCCCTGGTTAACAGCGCAGCGCCTCACGAGCCCGGAAGGGGTCCGAAAGGAGACTGCCGCTGCAGAGCCGATCTTCTCTCCAAATGCCCTTCTCATTGCCCCAGGAACGTATGGGTTGCATGTGGCTTTGAACACTTGATGAGACAGAGAGGGTGTAGGTCGTCGGAAGCTACCTGACTCTTCCCGAGATTTGACCTTTGTTAAGAAACCTTGGAGTTGCATTCGCAGGCAATTTTAACACAGATAGAACCCTCTGGTCTTTATGAAACACAACTTCGGGGGAGGGGGCTCGCAGAGAACAGGGCTAGAGCGAGAACATCACCACAGTGTGGTCTTAACGTCCCACAAAGGGTCAGCGTCCGATTTCTGTCTTACCCACTTACAAAAGGTCCCTTTAGGACCGAGAACAGCCCCACCCTCGCGCAGGTGACCCGGCCCGGACCGCGGTCAACTTACTGGCTTCGGCATTTTCGGTTCCTGGGGCGGGGGTTGAGGGCTCTGCTCCTTGCCACTTGGGGAGGTGGTTCAGTGGCCCAAAAGGCTCATTTCCTTTGGGGGGGGGGGGGGGGGTTCTGCTCCGATCTCCCGGAAATTCGGCTCTGCTCCAGCGACTGAAAGGGCTCCGACGACCTGCAGTCAGAGCGAGGCGCTCAGCGCACGGGTTTAAGAAGCGGCCGGGCGGCGCCGGGTGAGTCACCGCCCAGCCGCGGGGGGCGGGGCGAGGGCTGAGGTCCGCCGGGCAGCCCGCTGGCCGCACACCAGCAAGTTTCACTTTGTGTAGCAACCGTTGCCCCAGAGCTGCAACCGCAACCGTCAAACCTTTGAGAAACACTGTTTAAAAACCGTACCCGCCCGGGAGTGGTGGAGGGACGGCGCCGGCCAGGAGGCGCGCGTTCGCGCAGCCCGCGCTCCGTTCTTCCTTCAGAGAGGACCGAGTGGAGGGGAAGTCTCCCTGCAGCCCCACGGAGATCCCCGCCCAGGGCCCCGAGCCCTGTCCCCCAAGGTCGCTCTCCTCGGCTCCACACTGCCTCTTCGGCCGCCGCCCCGCCGCACCTGTGGTCCAGCCCCGGCCACCGCCCCTTCTGCAGAGTGCGCGCGCGACCCCGCCTGGGCCTTCCCGCCGCCCCCGGCCGCGCGCCTGGCTCACCACAGCTGAGATCTCGGCCTCTCCTTCGAGCGTGCCCGCCGCCGCGCGCCAGAGAGGCCCTCACTGGGCGGGGTCGCGGGGTCTCGGGGCC